GTGAGAGCAAAGTAATTTACTGGAATATAAAGATAAGAGCTGATGAGCATGCCATTAATGGAGAAAGGGGATTATTTTCACAGGACCAGTAATTCCCCATCCCATTTCCATTTAATGTCAATCAAAACATAGTGTTAGCCATTTAGTAAACAAACAGAAAAAAAGAGCAATATGCTTGTACACATACACCAGATACTTTATTTACAATAAAGAAATGGGGAAGGGTTAAATGAAAGAATAGAGAAAGCTATACTATAGTAGTCAGGATGTGGTGGAACCAAATTGCAGTTTTCTAATTGAGAATGTATTCTTGGTCTGTAAGAACAGAGTTCTGGAGTAGGGTTGCTGCAGGTTCCGTTTTTAGTAGACACCTCTCTGTTGCTGGAACACTTCAATTGTATCTTCATCCTCCATTTCCAACTGCAAAGGTGTGTCTGTTTCATTGATTGGCTGTCTGTCAAATGGGAATCTGATCTGCCTCATGGACAAACCCTGTCATTCACAATAGGCTTTCATTAGCTTCCTAAGTGGTGTGTGCCTCTTAATCTTAAACTGCACCACAGAACCATCCTGCCCGGCCACCTTCAAATTAATATGATCGTTGTTCTCAGTCTTGGCTCCTTCCTTGGGCTTTTCGTCGGCCATAGTGAGCACCCGTCTTCTTAGCTGCCGCTTCACAAAAGAGGTACCAGGTACGCACGGAAGGAGCACACAAACAGCACCAGGAGCAGCAGAAGGAGGCAGCAGCGGTGGCCGTGGGAGAGGGCGCGCACACGTCTACGCTTCTTCCCCGCCCCTTCCATTTGCATAGGTTTCTATGTAAGCTACCCTTATGAATGTCAAAATAACATCCATTCCTGTCCAGGTGGGCACAGCATTGGGATCATAACCCAGATATGTAGGCAGTGATCAGCTCTGGTATCTGTGCTCTCTTTCTCTGACAGTCTAACCCGTCCTCCTGATGGGCAGTATAGATTGCTGGGTGTCTGTGGGTCTCTTGTTTGCAACTGTGCTGCTTTGCTTATTGCTGCCCAGTGTGTGAATGTTGTCTCATCTTTTCGTATATGAATGCAGACAGATATAAATTAATGTGTTTTCTTAATGTTGATTTAGTTCTTAAATATTTGCAATAAATTTTATTTTCAAAATTGTTGTTTTGACTTACCACTAAGAATGTAAGTAACCTGGAAATATTCAGAAAGTTTTTCACTGGGCCTCGGGCAGTGTTTGAGAGCATCGAGGTGATTGATACCCTACCTGATTCAACCCTCTCTTGCCCCAGGGATGACCACTCTCCCACTTGGAGACTTTTCCTAAGTTTACCATGTGTGAGTTTCTATGAAACATGTTCTTTTGGTTTCCTTCCTTGGGATTTTCAATAAATGATTATTATAGACTTGCAAAGAGAACTATTTTCAGAAGTTTTTTCTTCTCACTATTGTTCAAAAATGTTGATATGTAAATCTCGAGCCAGGTGCTTTCTCTTCCATTCTATTGGTCATGTGATGCAGGATTATTCAAGTTTACTTGAAAATAATCACATCTCTGTCCAGGAATAATAGCACAATGTATTCTCTGTGCATTGGAAAGAAGTTCCTGGTCTGTAAATTTTGGTAAACTGTAAAGGAAATGAATGTAGAGTGTAGCAATTGATTCTCCACTTTCCCATAAGTCTGTGTCCTTATTGTGTTCTCCCACACTTATACTTTCTTTAGTGATTTTCTAAAAACAGTTTGGTTTTTATTATTTATTCAGTGTTTTTGCATGAGTTAGATATGTGGTAATGATTTTTTTTTAGATTGTGTTCATTGATCTTTATTCCCTATGCAAAATTTTTATACTATGCACACACTAAATGTATGCCAGCCTGGTTTATATCTCATGTTTTTAATTTATAATTCTAATTCTGATGGTACTTGATTTTCTTCTGAGGAAAATTTTTTTCAAATATAAAAATTATTTCATTATGAATATTCAAGCATTCAAAGTTATCTTTCTCATTTCAATATGTAACATAAATATTGCAGGTAAAGTAGAAGGTTATACATTCTAGGTTCCCAAACACATAACCTATTTTTCACTAAACATAAAAGATTGTGATTCCTTCCAGACATACATAAAACCAACTCTATCAACAATCAATTTCCCACATACCTGTCCACCCACTGAATTCTATGTTCCATTATTGAGATGTGTTTGTCATTTTCTCTAATAATGGTACTGTCTTATGAAAAGTGGAATTTGAATGTGTTTTTGTGTATATAATGGAAGCTATCAACCATTTTGCTTAAAAGGTATTGAATGTCATTAGAATTTTATTGTACTGTGTAGCTATAATTTTTTAAAACACATCAAAGGTGTCTTATGAAGTTATTCTTTTTTCAAAGTTTTACTTTGTGGGGAGTTTGAGTCAGGCTCTCTCTTTCTATTTCACACAGCTATGTAACTGAGGCTGGCCTCAAACTTGAGGCCATTTCCTGCATCAGCCTCCCAAGTGCTGGGCTTGTAGGCATGTACCACACCTGGCTGAAATTTTCCTTTTGTGAAATTTTACTTATATACTCTGTGATATATTGGTTGTTGATGCGTATGATACATTTTATTCATCTTCCTCTCGCACCACCCTAGAATTTCTTATATCTGAGTGGAAGGTGATCATTTGGTGACTGAGCTATAAGATAAGTTTCAGTCTTTGCCTGGTTTCATTGACCATAGATTTGTTCCAATAAAACTTATTCTCTATTAATATTTTAGTTATTACTTATGTACCATATTTGATATTCAATTATGTTTTTTATGCAACCAAATTCAAATTTTAAAATTCTGCTTAAGAACAATAAAAGAAAGAAGGACTCAATGTCATAAGTAATGACATGGTATGGGATCATATGGTATCAAAATGATTCATTAGATATTCATTTGCCCCCGTGCTTTGTGGATGGTGGTCTTGTAAGGTCCCACTGTGTGCTCTGTTTTAGAGACATTGCACAGATACCCTTGACAAGACCTAGTGAAAGAACAAGTATTTCTGTTCTGCTACTGCATTAGTGATGAATTCCAATCCAGCATCAGAATTGCTGTCTGAAAAAAATGTGCATGTACATGGAATTGATGACCAGGTCATGGAATTAAGGTTTCAAGGATACATTCTCCATTCAGCTGTTTTATTTTGTTTTGTTTTATTGAGATAGCCTTTCACTATGTAGTTCATGTGGGTCTTGAACCTACTGTGGAGCTCACTCTTGTCTTGAACTCATGGCAATCCTCCTGCCTCAGCCTCCTGAGTGCTGGGATTACAGCTATGCACCACCACACTTGGCTCTCAATTCAACTTTTTATGAGAGGAATTAAGACATCCCAGGTGTGAGTCTCAACCTTCCTTTGAGAAATGTGTGTATGATCATTTAGGAGGCAGTGACCTTTGAGGATGTGGCTGTGAACTTCACCATGGAGGAGTGGGCTTTGCTGAATCCATCCCAAAAGAAGCTCTACCGAGATGTGATGGGGGAAACCTTTAGGAACATGGAGGCAGTGACCTTTGAGGATGTGGCTGTGAACTTCACCATGGAGGAGTGGGCTTTGCTGAATCCATCCCAAAAGAAGCTGTACAGAGATGTGATGGGGGAAATATTTAGGAACCTGGCTGCTATAGGTAAGGATGACAGCTCTTTCTCATTTGTAATATCAGAGAATATTGTCTGTTGCTCATCAGTGCTGTTTCATTACAAAGAATGTGAAAACAATTTGAAGAATTTCTCAGTCCTGGTTACACTATATCATGAATCTAATTGAAATCTATTAACTTTTCTGAATTAATATAATAAGTCCTTATATTTCTCTCTACAATTCAGGAAGAGCTGGGGATAACCAGGAAGTTGGAAAAGAATACAAAAATTACTGGAGATTTCTAAGGTAATTTGCACCCACAAGTAAAAAGAATATTTCTCAAGAGGCAGTGTGCAGGCACAAACATGACAACCAAGTCAGTGAGGCAAAATTCACTTTAATGTCAAAAATATTTTCCAAAGATGTGTACAACTTGAGTATGTATAATCTGACAATTGAATCATGAAAATGTATGAAGTTACATTTAGGTATTGCGTATAGACTATATGAAAAGAACAAAGTTCAGGTTTTCACAGGAGTGCACCTTTAGGACATCCATTTATGTATACATGTGAATATAACACATTCAGTATCTAAAAATTGCTAACCTTCAAGCAATATTCAAAATACAAATGCATGTTAGTGTTTCAATGCTTGTTTTCAAGCCATTCTCTAGGGAATTGAGTCCATTCTGCTTTAACATTGTTGGAAGGCTGATGCAATGCTAAGTACAGTCACTATGATAATCAGTACACATGTCTGTAAAAGTTGGTCCAGGCATATTTCTCCTGGATATATTCTCAAGAGAGTCAAAATCTTCATATGATACTGATGCATGCATACCCTTTTTTAAGGCAGGTCAGTTTATAGCCAGTAAGCCTTTGAATCAGGTCAGATATCTATCACTGCATGAATGGATAAGGAAAATTGTTGGTAGTATAATTGTGTATTCTGAAAACCCAGCACTTTGGGAAGCAGATTCTGCAGAATGGCAAGCTGAAGCGCAGCCTCACCACCTTCATCATGATTGACAGTCTCTCAAAACAAGAAATAAAAAAGCTGGAGATTTTGTGCTAAGACTTGAGTTTCATTCCAGGCCCTGAAAAGAAAAAGAAAATGTGCTATATAATCCACTAAAAAGATAAATAACATCATATATTTGTGGGTCTTTCACAATTTTGAGTGAAATAACTCAGCCACACAATGTTAAATGTCATGTAGTTTCTCTCATATGAGAAAAAAAAATAAATTAGAGAGTAAAGTACAGCAGAGGTAACAGAGAAGGGAGAGACTGACTTTTTGGAGATGAAACAGACAAACTGTTAGAAGTGGGAGAGCAATGCAGGAAAAGGCACCAAATGATCAATATGTGATACACATATGTACCAGTTGCTGAAAATGAAGCTAAATATTCTGTGTTTCAAAATAAACTAACTTTAACATTCCCAAATGATTACCACTCTTTTGGGAATGGCTGATTTGAAGATATTCTGCAAGGCATTTAGTTAATTCATTGTCACAGTTTCCTAATAGGCATAAAAATAGAACTTGTCCTGGTAGATCATTAATATGGATACCCATTATATTTTGACTTTTTTTCTTTACAGAAGTGAAGAGGTAGGGAAGTGCTATCAATATAAAGGTTGGAAACAACAAGAAGAAGTATGCCTTCATACTCCGGATGCTAATGTGGACCTGAAACAAACAGACACACACAGTGATGTTCAGATCCATGAAACAAATTGCAGTGGGGAGAAACCCTATGCATGTAAGCAGTGTGGGAAAGCTTTTACCACACGTGGATATTGTCAAATACATGAAAGCCTTCACACTGGAGAGAAACCCTATGTATGTAAGCAATGTGAGAAAGCTTTCAGCACACGTACATATTGTCAAATGCATGAAAGACTTCACACTGGGGAGAAACCCTATGTATGTAAGCAATGTGGGAAAGCTTTCAGCACAAAACGTCATTGTCAAACACATGAAAGAGTTCATACTGGAGAGAAACCCTACGTATGTAAAGTATGTGGGAAAGCTTTCAGCAGAAACACTCATTGTCGAAGACATGAAAGAACTCACACTGGGGAGAAACCCTATGTATGTAAACAGTGTGGGAAGGCTTTTACCACACATGCATATTGTAAAATACATGAAAGACTTCACACTGGGAAGAAACCCTATGTATGTAAGCAATGTGAGAAAGCTTTCAACAGGTATAGTGATTGTAAAATACATGAAAGAATTCACACAGGGGAGAAACCCTATGTATGTAAGCAATGTGAGAAAGCTTTTACCACACGCAGATCTTGTCAAATACATGAAAGAATTCACACTGGGGAGAAACCCTATGTATGTAAACAATGTGGGAAAGCATTTAGCACAAACAGTCATTGGCGAACACATGAAAGAACTCACACTAGAGAGAAACACTATGCATGTAAGAAATGTGGGAAAGCTTTCAGCAGACACAGTGAATATAAGACACATGAAAGAACTCACACTGGAGATTAATCCAATGTATGTAAGCAATGTGCAAATACTTTCAGCACACATGATGGTTGTCACATATATGAAAGAACTTACTGGGCAGAAATCCTATGTATATGAGCAATTGGGAAAGACACTAGTCCACATACACTGTTAAATATATGAAAGACACATGACTGGGGAGAAACTTTAAAGATTCTTTTTTTTTTTTTTTGGTTTTTTTCTCCGGTACCGGGAACCGAACTCACGACCTCGCGCTTGCCAGGCAGGCGCTTTTGCCGCTGAGCTAAATCCCCAGCCCCTGGGGAGAAACTTTAAATATTTAAGCCTATTTTGAAAATCCTGTGAAAATTTTTCATATAGTGGAGGCCTGAAGAAATAATTAATACAAAAAGTTTGCTGTCAGTATTTCTTCACAAAGGGGCTGAGAATTTAGCTCAGCAGCACAGCACCTGCCTGGCAAGTGCGAAGTTGTGAGTTCGATTCCTGGTACCAGAAAAAAACTAAAAGAAAAAATTTCTGCACAAAGTTTGTAGAAAATACAAATGCCACGTAGAGCTCTCCTAAAGTACATACGTTGTGTCATGTTCAGTAAATCACTTATATGCATCTAGGTTATGTATCTGTAGGGTTTAATATAAAAATATTGAGTTGACCTAATTTTGTATTTATGAGTGTCTCTGTCTTAATCCATAGTGTCTTTTAATTAAACATGATGAATTGAAAAATGTATTTTATACTTTCAGGTATGGTTAGGGTCTATGTACTTAATGTTTCGTTTTTAAAATTGAGAGGTATAGGCCACTAAAAAAAACTTAAATTTATATTGTTTTTCTGTTAATTGTTGGGATTTTGCCAGTTTTAAAAAAAATTTTGGTGCATATCCTCTATCTGTGTTTCAAATGATGTTTCTGAATCTGATGCTACATTTTATATTGATAAATAAATATATATATATATATCTTTATATCTTTCAGAGGCTTGTGAGCATGTGTTTGTGACATAGTTCAGTTTTTCACACAATTTATAGATTAACAATGTTATGTTTTTCATAATGTAACAAGATACCTGCTTAAATCCTAACATCATTGTATAGTCTGTCATGTACATATGCATAATGCTGCATGTTTTTCTTTCTTAATGGAGCCAATATTATCATTTACATAAATATTTATATTTTCTTGCCATCAAAAATTTACTTTTCATGTTTATATTGCAATGGCTTTTAATTTGGTGTTAATTTTTCTACCACGTGTACCCAAAATAAACCATATTGCTGTGAGTTTCTGATTGCCATAGACCATTAGGATCATTACTTGTCTCCAAAAGCATATCATAAATTATAGTACTATCTCCAGAAAGTATAAATTGTGATATGACTTATAAGTAACAACACTTTGAAAGGAATTTTTGTCAGCTGTATAGTTGTTTTGGGGAGAATGGTTGCCATTGTATGTACAAGGCAAATGCCTTTATTCTATTCCCTGATGCTATGATGCCATTCTACCTTTCATAATCATTATTGTTGCTACCTAATACCCTGAACTAATCACAGGAAGGAAAATGTGCTGCATGTGAGGTATCAGTCAGTTTGGTAAAAAAATGAATTTCTTATGGTATAATTCAGATTGTGTTTTGTTTTACCAGTTTTTGAGATAAAGTTATATAATGCCATTTCTCATTGTTCATAAGGACCAGTGTCTCTTGTTTGGGGTATGTGCCAGTTGCCTTCAAACATGTACATTGGGCTAAGGTATGTGCGTGAGTCTCACTTGGTCTCCTTTGACCTGTACTTTTACTCTCTTTTTAACATTGATATAATTTATACAGTGTTCTTCAATATAAAAGCTACTCAATTTCTGATTGGGTTATGTTGTTACAAACCTTTGGTACCATTGTCTTGGTTACTTTTCTCTTGCTGCTGGGACAAAATACCCAACACCCAAAACTCTAGAAGGAAAGGTTTGTCTATCTTACAGTTTGTGGAGGTTTAAGTCCATAATCAGCTGACTAGAAGGCAGGGTGGCATGGCAGAGCAGCAATAGTTCATGGCAGTGGAAATCAGCAAAAGCAACAAGAGTGAAAAGGGGGCATCAAACAAGCCTCTTTTCCTCCCTTATATTGTAAGCAGGCTACCCACTCTGGGTCGGGTGTGGCACTCACATCATCTCCCTCCCTCCTCTTGCACAGGCTCAAGATGTTTATAAATTAAAGACTCTGACCCTTGCTGAATCACTTAGTCAAGCTTTTCAACCTCTTAATTTCACACAATGTTCAACCATTACACTCCATCCCTTGTCAACTTGAGAACCTCTCTTGTCAACTTGCAATCATAAACATTTCTTTACATCAGTTTCCAGATACAAAGACTTGTTTATTCTTATCATTTCACAAGTTGAACATTTTAACACAGGTTTAACAATCCATAAGAACCAGTATTATGTCTGTCAATTTTATATTATATTAGAACCATAACATTTTGCCCTTGTTCCCCAGGCTCATGCATATTCCTTTATGCAAAACATATTTAGTCCATCTGCAAGAGTAGCCAGTGTCTTAATAGTTTCAGCAGTATTGAGAAGTCCAAGTCCCAAGTCTCCTCTGAGATTTAAGGCAAACTCTTAGCTGCAAGCCCCCTGTACAAATGAAAAGTTAAACACTTGCAACAATCAATGGCACAAAATAAACTTCATTCCAAAAATTATAAACAGATACAAAGGAGTGGGAACAAAGCAAGTCCAAAATCCAGCAAGCAAACATTACATCCTGTAGTTCATGTCCAGTATCTGAAGCTATCTGTGGCAAGATGGGAACTCCAAGAGGCTTGGGTGGCTCCACCTCTATGTTATTTTGGGTGGTTGTAGGTCTCATGGTTTCTCCCTTTGACTGGCTTTGCTCCCTCCTTGCAGGTTTCCTCAGGTGATTCACATTCCTGGCTTCAAACTTCTAGGGTGTCCACTGAATCTTTGGCTTCACACAGCTTCATACACTGCCCTTTCAGGGACACACTACCAGGCTTCCCAAGCCTTCTAAAATCAGGATGGAATCCTTCTTAACCCCAAAATCTTGCACTCTGCATGTGCCTACAACTGGTGCCACATGGATTTTGCCATGGTCTGCTGCCAGCTGGAGCAGTAACCAGGCTTTCTTTTCTTGGCTGTAGTGGTCAAGTGCCCGGATTGCTGGGCGCTCTGCATCCAATTCAGAGAATCAAATTTTCTGTGCTACTTGCCATTCTGGGACATGGTGCTTTGCAGCTTTCTGCTCAAAGCAAATTCTTTTACTTTTGCAGCTTTGAGACTGCAAAGGTTGGAGACTTGCTGCTTCATGTGATACCTTTAGGCCATCTTTTATATTCTCCTGTTCCTTCTCCACAATCAGTTTCTCCTCAGCTGTATCTTTGTAGTCATAGCTTTACTGGAGCCTTTTTTCTGACCAAACTTACATTTTAAATCATTCTGCTGGGCTCTCTACTGTTGATTTGCAACATAAGTCTTGCTAACCCCCCCCCAACAATTTCCATGCCACTACCTCAACATTCAACTGCCTTGAAATTTCTTCTGCCAGATTAATTAGTTTGTTGCCCTTTATCTCAGTCTTAGGCAAAATCTCTGGACCTGAGCAAAGTGCTGACAAACTTTCTGCCAGGCCATAACACATATCATGTGTAGTCCAGCAGGCAATGCTCTCCTTCCCAGTAAAAACCTCCCAAGCCTGGTCTTTATTGGCAGAATTTCTATCAGCCTTCTAGTCTTCTGAGCTCTACCAGGATCTCATACAGAACAGTCTAAGGCATTCCATCACAGCTCTTTCTGATGCCATCTCAAAACCTTTCCGAATTCTTCCTATAAGCCATTCCCAAAGGCTCTTGAACCACATGATCAGGTATAGGTACAGCAATGACCCCACTCTTATTACCAAATTCTGTCTTGGTTACTTTTCTCTGATTGCTGGGACAAATAATGGACCCCAAATTTAAGCAAGGAAAGTTGTTTTTTTTATTTTTTAATCTCACTGTGGAGGTTTCAGTACATAATCAGCTGGCTCTGAGTCAGGGTGGCATGGCAGAAGGGTGATGGCTCATGACTATGAAAGACAGCAAAAGTAAGAAGAGTAAACACGGAGGGGAGGCAAGCCTCTTCTTTATATTATAAGCAGGCTACCCATCCTGAGGTGAGTGTAGCACTCACATCATTTCCCTGTCCTTTTGCACAGGCTCAGGATGTCTACAAATTGAGGACCCTGGCCCCTGTTGAGTCAATTAAGATTCTAAATTTCTCAGTTTGACACAATGTATCAACCTTGCAATCATGAAAACAAAAGTGGCCTGTGGATAAGAATTTCTTTTTGTACTTTCCTTAGAAAAGATTGTAAAAATTTCCTTGTATAATCAGAGGATGAATACTCCTATAATGGGTGCCTAAGGACTTAAATCAGGGGAACTACTGACTGGTCAAATGAAGTTAGAAACTTAAGAATAAGAAGAACCAATAAAGCAAGCACAGTCTGAGGGAAAGACTTTGAAGCCCCATAAAAGAGCCTAATAAAGGTCTGTGTTCCAAGGCTAAACATGGAGTATGATGTTCTTGGATGATGACAGCATCAAATATCACACCTGTTTAAGGCAATTCAGGTATACAAAGCTTCTGTTTTCCACTTTTTGTGGTTCACCAATGCCAAGTCCTCTTGCATGAGACCACTTTTTCCTCATGACAGTTATTTTCTACTCAGATCAATGACCCAAATATCAATTGTTTCCTCTAGAAAGAGACACAGACATGCAGGTTTTATGGCATGTCTTCAAGTCATACTGTTAACGAGATTAACAGCACAAAAGCAACAAAATCTTAACGAAATTTGTATTAGTTCATATCTGTAGTATATCTTTACATTGGTTGTCAGAAAGTTGTACATGTATATGACACATAAATGAACTTTTCATTTTTACCATTCCACTCTTTTTCTGTCCCTTCATTTCTTCATTCTGTTTCCATTTGTAAAAAAATCTCTCATTTTCCAATTACTGCTCTTTTATTTTTTTCTCCTAAAAGTAAAATTAAACACAACACCTCCAATATTAAATTCGATCATCTATACATAGCAGGTTCCTGAGTATATAAGTGTATAAGGATTTCAGCATCCTTCCCATGCTTCTAAAGAAAATCCACAGAATATGATTCCCATGAA